CCTCATTTATGTTAAAACTAGGGTAGCTGCTAATTGGTATCAGAAACACTGGAGAATAGAGACTGACAAAATTATAGATCAAGTGAAGAAAGGAGTCTTCAAGCCAAAAATCAACTCTTTTGTTTGAGAAGATGTTAAAATGTTGTATGAACAAAAGAAGAAAAGAAAAAATGTAGAAGAGATAGATGAAGAAAATACAAAGGAATATTTACTCAACAACATGGAAGAGATATTCTACTACAACTATGTTACAATGTCAAGGACATTTTTTTTTCCTTCTTTTTGTATTTTTTCGTGACCGGCAATGGATCGCAACCCTCAGTGTTTCGCCCGTACCGGACTGGGACCGGCAACGGGATCGCAACCCTCGGTGTCGCGCCCGCACTGCGCTCAACCAGTGAGCGGACTGGTCTCTATATGGGATTCGAACCCTCGGCGGGAGCGCCGCCACACTCCCAAGCGGCACACTGTAGCAGTGTGCCACCGGGCCGGCCCCTCAAGGACATTTTTAAAAAGGTTGGGTGATAGGAATAAACTCTATGAGATAAGAAACTTTTGAGTCAAGAACGTTGAAGATAGACCAGTGATATAAAAGCTACAAAACCAAAGTGAGTGCAGTGAGCAGAACTGACACTGCGGAAAGAGGGAAAAAAACATGGAGTAAAGGCTTAAAAATCATACAGAATGCAGATACAAGAGTCAAGAAATAGGACTAAGAGAAGCTGATATATATGGAGATCAGAACATAGATAAATGCCTTGACTAGAGAAGAGAGCAGAATAAGTTGGTGAGAATTCAGTAGATATTTTTTTATTTCTGAAGTTGGTAGAAAAATACATTTAAAGATTTTATTCAGACATATTAATAGTCACTAGTAAATTAAGTGCAGGCTGTCTATTGTCCAAATTGCCAGATCAAAATAAATTTTTAAAAACCAAACCTTTCTTTTCCATATAGAAAAAGAAAGAAAATAGGAGGGGAACATAAAAAATGTAAAGATAAGATGAGTGATAAGACAGAGCAGCTATTAAACCCCATATAAGTAGGATATACTCATCTATTAAAAACATAGATTGGGTTAAAAAAAAAATCTAAAGTGGCCCAAAATTTAAATGAAAAATATGGGCAGTGATATTCCAGGGAAATGTAGATAGGAGGTTGAAAGGATTTCAGTATTATGATCCAACAGAATTGATTTCAAGATAAAAGTATTACATGGGAGTGGAAAACTTTATAGTACCGAAGGGTACAATCTGCCGTAGATGTTAGCTCTCTAGAACTAAATAGTATAATGAACAAACCACTGAAACATACAAAGGAAATATATAAGAAGAGAAAAGATAATTGACAAAGAAAATATTACAGATATTGTATATAAATTCCAATCTGTTTCTTTTGTATTATTCTTCTGGCTCACACCAAGCATGAATGGATAGTTAAATTTTTTTCTTTATTTTTTTCTTTTAGTTTTTCTGTCTTCACTTTACAACCAATGTAGCATTGTTCTTTGAATGTGAAGTATTCAGTCCATCAAACCTACCAACCCCTGCTCTTAGCAGACTTTCTCTCGTTTCACAAAGAAAATAGTGGCCATAAGACATAAGTAACTTTACCTTTCTGCCTGTCCTCCCTCTCCTACAAATTGTTTTGTTTCTTTGTATAAAAGAAAAGAAGTTTCTCATTTTAACACTAATGCCTCCCATTTCCTCTACTCTAATGGTGTCAACGTGATGTCTCATGCATGGTATTAACATACCTGTATCTGACTCAGGTCTCTCCTGTGCACACACATAGCCCTCTGCCTCCTGGATATCCATCTCCTGGATGTCCACCAAACATCTCAAACTCACCATTCCCGAAACTGACTTCATCACTTTCCTCCCTGATCTTACTCTCCCTCTAGAATTCCTTCAGTGAATGGAGCCACATACTCATACACTAGGAGGTTCATTTCTCCTCCTGAGGACTGTGGTTGGTGATTGGTGGGAAGTGTAGCAGTAACAACCTAAGAGAATATCTGCTGGATTTTGTTTGAATTGTGCATTCACCTTTGTTATGAGTGGATTGTTCCAGCTATGTGCTAAAACATTTTGTCATTATTTACAAATCTAGCAGTGTAATCATCCTTTTGGTAATGGAACATTTGGGAGAATTATCTCTACTGTATTATCTGCTTTTCAGCCACAAATTAATGCCTTTGTCATGATTTGGGGGGCAGAAATTCATTTTCTCTTCACTTTAAGTATGGGAAGCAATTTGCTCAAAGATACGGAATCATAAAAAACAAACAGACAAAACCCTAGGAAACAGTAAAAACATAAGATGGTAAAATTGCTAACCAGAGTTGGTGCTGTTGGTGTTTGGCTGTGGGCAGGGGGAGCAGTGGTATAAAAGCAGGCTATGTCTGTAAAACAGCAGACTAACTCTACATAAGCAAGTTGCGGTCATGTTTTTACTCACTGATAGTAATACTGTATCTTTACAATCTTTACAAATAAAATGTAATCATTAGCAATATATTTAATTTTTTTTTTTTTTTGTCTTTTGTCTTTTTTCCGTGTCCGGCAATGGATCGCAACCCTCAGTGTTGCCCCCGTACCGGGCCAGGGACCGGCAACGGGATCGCAACCCTTGGCGTTGCCCCCGCGCCTCGCTCAGACAGTGAGCGGGAACCGGTCTGTATGTGGGATCCGAACCCTCGGGCAGGAGCGCCACCGCGCTTCCCAAGCGGCGCACTGTAGCAGTGCGCCACCGGGCCGGCCCATTAGCAATATATTTAAAAAGGAGAAACTCATTTGTGCTCTCTTGAGGAAAAATTAACTGTAAAGTTTCATGGAACTTTAAATTGCCATTTTTTACCCATTAAAGTGTAGGAAGAAACAGTTTTTTTCACTGTCTTAGTTTAAAAGAGTTTAAGAACATAATTTTTACCATTAATTGGGTATTGTAATACTTGTCCTATATGTTTTTTTTTTTTTCTATTTTCTCTTGTAACTCGTGTCAAATTACTATAGAGTCATGTGAACTTAGGATTCTCAGAGGGGAAAAGGCATGGATTTGAGAGGGCTGATGCTGGTGGACAATGTAGATGTAAGGAGATTTTTATGTTTATGAAAAGGGATGGGCCGGCCCGGTGGCGCACTGGATAAGTGCGCCGCTTGGGAAGCGCGGCGGCGCTCCCGCCCGAGGGTTCGGATCCCACATACAGACCGGTTCCCGCTCACTGTCTGAGCGAGGCGCGGGGGCAACGCCAAGGGTTGCGATCCCGTTGCCGGTCCCCGGTCCGGTATGGGGGCGACACTGAGGGTTGCGATCCGTTGCCAGACACGGAAAAAGACAAAAGACAAAAAAAAAAAACAAAAAAGAAAAGGGAAATGAGAGGATTACTAAGATTGTTTATGGAAATTCTTATTATAGTATAAAGTCATAAAGGCTTCCACATGTGGGATCTCATTCCATTTTTCTCCCCTTTTGCAAAAAATAATGTAACTGCAAAATAGTATTATAATTTAAGGATCCATTTTCTGGCCATTTTTCTCTAGACCCCAGACTATATTGAGGCCAAACATCATTGCAATAAAATATCATCTTTTTCCTTTTTAGCGGGTCATATCCCAAAGTAATTCCAATTTTTCAAAATACTTGCTAAAGGACTATAATCAGGAACACTTATTTGGCTACCCCTAATATTATACCAGTTGCTCAGAGGAAATACCTGGGGAGGATTGAAAGTCTCTAAAGGTTCAGGCCAGTTGGTAGGGACTTGAATTGCTACTCATTTGATTCCTATCTGTAGACCAAGTACTCAACCCTCAAATGGTACTTATTCAGTTGCTGTCTCATTTCTGTTGCTCAAACCTTTTGGTGGCAGAGTCCGTGAGCAGGTGTCAAAGGGAGGGACACCACTCAGCCAAGCTCTCCCAAGCAAAAAGGCTCAGTGCACACTGAGATCAGCCCTCCATATCTCTCCCGAGGACCCAACTGCCACATCCTCACCACTGGTTGGCTAATTGAGGTGTCCCATCTGGGTTGCCAAATTTGTTATGGGTAAGCACCTGCAGGGTCCTTGTCTATATAGTGTATGCCAATGGAAACACAAAGACAGCAATTTGAGCCTCTAACAGAAAGGAGCTTATTGGGTTGTGCAAACCAGGGGCAAGGTAGCCTAAAGAACCAAAACAAGCTCCACAAGTATTTGGAGGTTACAGTTTTTAAGGATCTAGCTATAGGAACTTATACACATTTAACAAGGGCTGTGTTATTTCTATGCACATTTAAGTGGGGATGAGCACCCATGCGCATAGTGGTGTTATGTATGTTACATGTGTCTCATGTTCTCCTGGGGGTGGAGATTTAAGGATTGAAATGAAGGGGAGTTGGCCTTGTCATCAGATGATGAGGTTACAAGCTAAGTCAGGGCTAGTGTGCAAACTGCCCAGTCAGGTCAAAACTGTTTTGGAGTTTATGGTTGTTCTGCTGGAGGTTGTTACTGTGAAGTCACTTTCTTACCCAAGCAGCATTGTTGAGGAAAGGGGAGGAAAGAAGAAAAATTGATTAAGAAAAGAAAGGAATGGGGGGTAGCTCTCATTAGTTTCTGGCTGAGTATGCATTTGCCCCTTTTACAGAGAGTGGTATTTTGCTATTTGTTCCATGTGTGTCACATACCATGACTCACTGACATTGACCAGTCAGTATTAAATATGGATGATTATAAGTAGATAAGGAGGTAGCATACCACTTATGAATATTTTGGGTTTTAATGTATTAAAATGCTAATGTTCTTTAAACTACTTTTAAGCCAGCTTTTGAGCAGGAGACAATTTCTAACAACTTTCTTAACAGGCCTTTTACTTTGTTTCCAAACTCCTGTCAACTGAATACAGTACCATAATAAATAAGACAACTGCTTGAATATCCTGTTTTATTTAGAGAGAATGGCCTACAAGATCACCATTTAATTTAAAATATTTTCTTTTCTTTCTATTTGTATTTTCTGTTAGATATTAAGGCTAAGACATACTGCAGTTGTAACAACAAAGAAAAATGTTGCAGCCTCAAGACGTCAAACTTACACAGAGGATTTTATTAAAAAGCAGATTGAAGAGTTCAACATAGGAAAGAGACATTTAGCCAACATGATGGGAGAAGATCCAGAAACTTTTACCCAAGAAGATATTGATGTAAGTACAGTTACTCTGTTGGAAAAGTAATTGCTATAGAATTTTAGATATTAAAAGCATTGAACTTCAGCATGAGCCCTTAGCTGTGTAAATTTTAATCAAACTGTCAGAATAAAAAAATATATATGGTGCAAGTTGGAACCATGCCTCTTTGTTTTTGAAGCATTACAAAGTATGGTGAGCTATAGATTTATATAAGAAATGAATACTTTTCTTGATTCGAGGTCATGGGAGCCACTATGAATACTTATACACTATTTGGAAATTTTATCTTCTTGTGTAGTCTTGGGAAAGTCAGCTTTCTTTCCAAATGATAAAATAGATGGTATGGAAATAGAGTTGAGTTTATAGGAAATCCTGTAAGTAAACCTTGGCCCAGTGTTTTAATACTTTTTGGGTGGACATCCCAGTTGTAAGAACTTAAATTCAACAACTTTGAAGCTTGTTCTTATTTTTTAAAAGTGACATCAAACATCCCATGATATTTTATATTTAACTGAAGAATGGCATCTTTGTATAGATTTAATATTTTTATATGATTTTAAATATATTATTTTAAGTCATTTTGTTATTTTATGCATTTAAATTTAATTCCCGTCTTTTTGTATACCTTCCTATTTGTAAATGGTACTGAAATATCTCTTTAAGGTGCCAGACCAACATTTTTCACTCAACCAGAGGATTTCTTGTTACCCTTTCCAGGTCTAGGTGATTTGGAGTCGTGAACCTTGTAGCTGCTATTCTATTTTTGAATCTTGTGATAATCTAGACTGTGTTTAGGTATATTAAGAAAACTATATTTTCATAACACTAATTTTATCATAGATAACATAGGTATTGCTCTGTTTTTAAAAGAGGATACTGAGGCACAGAATGGCTAAGCATCAGGTTTAAATATGTAAATATGGAAAAAGGGAGAAGCTCTAAGATTTCAAAATTTGAACTTTGTCTTCTTCTTTTATATGTGTCTTATTTCATATATCATAGACATTTGACATTGTCCAGAATGTATAGGTAATTTTTAGCTAAGAGAGGTACATACTCAAAAAATTACGATTTTCAAAAAGAATGGAAGAAAAGGATAGAAACTAACTATCATCTGCATTCTCAAAAAATATGATTTTTTTAAGAATTAAAGAAAAGGACGAAAACAAAATAAAATCTCCTCCTTCCCCATTTTATACCATGTACCTTTAAAAATACAGGGGAATAGTGAGCATCTTGGCACAAATAGTCATCCAAATAGGAATATAATCGAATAGTGAGCATCTTGGCACAAATAGTCATCCAAATAGGAATATAATCTCTGCTCCCCTAAGTCTTCTCTCCTGAAACAACTTATTTGGCTGTTTCCTTTTTTTGATATCTTCTTTATTGAGACATAATTCATATACCATTGAAAGTGTACAGTTTACTGGTGCTTAATCTATTCAGTGTTGTGCAGCCATGACCACAGTCTAATTTTAGAACATTTTCATCACCCCAAAATTAAACTGTACCCTTTAGCAGTCACTCCTCACTTCCCTCCTCCCCATAGCTCTAGGCAACCACTTTCTGCTTCCTGTCTCTATGGATTTGCCTATGCTGGACATTTTATATAGATAGAATCATACAATATGTGGTCTTTTGTGACTGGCTTCTTTCACTAAGCGTAATGTTTTCAACATTCTTTCATGCGGTAGCATGTATCAGTACTTCATTTTTATTGCTGAATAGTTTTTTATTGTGTGGATATGTCACATTTCTAAAATTAAGTCATCGGTTGATGGATATTTCGGTTGTTTCCATTTTTGGTTATTAATGAATAATGCTAATATGAGCATGCGTGCTATGAACACAGGTTTTTGTGCAAGCATGTTTTTAGTTCTCAGTTATATACCTAAGAAACCGTTGCTAACCCAAGGTCATGAAGATTAACCCCATGTTTTCTTCTAAGAGTTTTATAGTTTTCGCTCTTACATTTAGGTCCTTGATTCACTTTGAGGTATTTTTTTGTGTGGTGTAGGGTAGGGTAGGGTAGAGGTAGGGGTCTAGCTTCTTTCCTTTATGTGTGGATATTCAGTTGTTCCAGCATCATTTGTTGAAAAGCCTATTGTTTCCCCCATTGAATTCTTTTGTCACCCTTACCAAAGATTAATTGACTGTAAATGTGAGGGTTTACTTCTGGATTATCAATTCTATTCCATTGATCTATATATGATTACTAAAGCTTTGCAGTAAGTTTCAAAATTGGGATATACAGGTACTTTGTTCTTGATTTTTGAGATCATTTTGGTTATTCCGTGCCCCTTGAATTTCCATATGAAATTTTAGGATCAGCTTGTCAGTTTCTGCCAAGAGGCAAGCTAGGATTTTGATAGCGATTATGCTGAATAGCTAGATCAATTTTGGGAGTTTTGTCATCTTAACGTTAAGTCTTCTGATCTGTGAACATGGGATGTCCTTCTATTTATTTAGATCTTCTTTAATTTCTCTCAATGATGTTTTATAGTTTTCAAAATCTAATTCTGACACTTCTTTTGCTAAATTTATTCCTAATTTTTTAAAAAATTCTATTGTAAATAGTTTTGTTTTTGGATTTTTGGCAAGTGTATACAATTGATTTTTGTGCATATTTGGTATATTTTTGTATATTGATCGTGAACCTACAGCCTTACTGAATCCATTTATTAACTCATAGTTTTTTTAGTGGATTCCTTAGGATTTTCTGTATATAAGATATTGTCACCTGCAAATAAAATAGTTTTTCTTTTTTCTTTCCAATGTAGATGCCTTTTATTTCTTTTCCTTTCTTAATCACCCTGGCTAGAACCTCCAACAATGTAGAATAGAAATGACAGGAGTGGACATCCTTGTCTTGTTCATGATCTTAGGGGGAAGCATTTAGTCTTTCTCCACTGAGTATGATGTTTGGTCGTTGGCTTTTCATAGATGCTTTTTATCAGCTTCAGGAAGTTCCTTTACATACCTAGTTTGTTGAATTTTTGTTGTTGTTGATGTTTTTGTCATGAGGGGGTGTTGAATATGTCAAATACTTTCTCTGCTTTTTGAGGATCATGTGGTTTTAGTCTTTTAATCTGTTGGTATGTATATCATATTAATTGAGTTTTGGATGTTAAACCAACCTTGTGTTCATGAGATAAATCCTATTTTGTCAGTGTGTATAATCCTTTTTATATATTTCTGGATTTGGTGTGCTAGCCTTTTGTTAAGTATTTTTGTTTCTAATATTGGTCTGTAGTATCTCTACTTATAATGTCTTTGATTTTGATACCAGAGTAATACTGGCCTCATAGAATGAGTTAGGAAGCATTTTCTCCTCTTCTGTAGAGTTCGTGAAGAATTCGTGTTAATTCCTCCTCTATGGTTTGGTTGCATTCACCAGAGAAGCCATCTGGACCTGGGTTTTTTTGTTGTTGGTAGTTTGCTTTTTGTATTTTTACTGTTTGCTTTTAAAAATGGTCCTTCACTTTCTCCTTATGGCCTGTGTGTTCCTGAGTAACTGTTCTCAACAGGAGGATCTCACTACCCAACCGAGTTTACAGGCATTTTGGAGCAGCTCTTAACTACCTTTTTTGGATGTACATAGGGCATATTTAGCTTATTGAAAAAAACAGAATCACTCAACAGTTTTGTAATTCTATCTGAAAGGATAAACATTTCCACACTATAAGTATTAAAAATGAATGTTTTGAGTGGTTGGTTCATTGCTGGGATATTTATTCACAACATTAGTTTGGTATGTTAAAATTATTTTCATGAGGATTTAATTTATACAGAGTAGATGTGGCCTATAACTTAATTCAATTACCTAAAATTTCTAGGCCTACTATAGTTTTCACATAGGTAAATTAGGTGCCATTGTATCAGATCTAACCATTAGTTATTTTATATATTTTAAAAACTGGTTTTTCTATACTACTTATCTAAGTGCTAACATAATGATAGCCAAAACCATTTGTGAAATGCATTTAAGCAAGAATACTTCAGATTTCAAACAAGTCATTTCGTATATTAAAATATCTTTAAAAAATTTTTTGTTAAGGTGTTTACAACAGATAACCTGCTAACTCCATCTACAGTGTTCTTTTAATATTATTTAGAAAAATCTAAAAGGATCCTATGCTTTAGTGAATACATTATCCTTCAATCAGGTAGAAACATTTTTTACAATATATTTAGTTGTGGTTCTCAAAATATAGAATTATTTTCCAAAAAAAGAAACCTTTACCACTGCTATGTAAATGTGGGTGGTGACGGCTATTTTGTACTTTTAAAACTGTGTGTGTCTGTGGTGAAAATAACTTGATGTCATTTTGTGTCATTGTGCTAAGGGAATATAATAAAAATCTCCCTTAAATTTAGCGTATTAAGTAATGAAATCATGAATTAATCCAAAAAAACATTCAATTGCTTCTTAAAATATGTAGACTCTTGTAAAAATGAAGTTGAATTTTTTGTGTTGTGAGGAATATAAATGCAGAACATGTAGAACCTTGTTATTAAATTGATTTCTTTTTTTGATAAATTCATTAAAATTATAATGAAAGAAAGGTGTAGGACTTGGGATTAGGAGATTTCCTGAAGTGTCCTAACTAGCAATGTAATGTTGAGCAAATCACAGCTCTATCACTTGATTTTCTCATCTCCAAAATAATACGTTCTTGCCTACCTCAGAATATAACTAAGGAGCATGAGACTGAGGCGATGTGTTATTGTTCTCATTACTATTAATAGTCATAAATACAACTACCATAACTAGAATCACTAGTTCTATAATTGCCTTTGTCACACAAGTCTTTCATGCCACCTGAGACTGAATGTTAGGGAGAATCATCTGAGATACTGTTGAGTACATTGATTTATCACTGATTTACAGGGGAGATCACCTACGTCCTGTAGGTTGATATTGTGTCTCACCTAGCTCCATACCTAAAAGCCCGTGTGGAAGTGACTGTTAGCCATTTTCCTTGACACCACTGACAATTCTACTGTGCTAC